ATATATATATATAAGTTATATATTAAATTATTTAAATTAAAGATGTATTTAAATAAATTTAATTTCTTTATCGTGTGAGATTTTGAAATCTCCACATATACTTAAAATAATTGCATTACTATATGAACCAATAAGGCTTTGCAGGTATAGCAATTAAAATTTCCAAACATAAAACATAAAAGAAAAATAATTTTAAACTCTTTTCTTTCTTTATTCCAAAAATTCAAAAATTAAGAAAATAATTGAAATTAAATTACTTTTTGTAATTTAAAACATACATATCAAAATTTCAGAAATTGTTTTATTTGCAAAATGGTGAATTATTTCTAATCAATTTCTTTTCAAAAACTAATAATAAAATAATATTTCCACCAACAATTTTCAAGCTCGAACTATGTGGACTTTGATCCCCATCATAGGGTACGTAGGCCTCAGAGTCAGATTCTGAGCAAGTCCTCCCTCTTAAATAAATAAATATTTCTCACTTAATTCTTATCATTTTTTAGCACATAAATATAAAAGGAATAAGTAAAATAATTATAAAATCATATTAATAAAGTACAACAAACTTTAGGTAACCGTTCTAACAACACAGGTGCTATGGAGTGCCTAACACCTTCCCCACACTCAACCGACTCCCAAACCTATTCTCTGTTTTCGTAAACCATCCTTATCTTTCCTTAAATGATTTCCCAAGATTTATCTCAAAATCTTGATGGTGACTCCTCGTTCTGTCCGGTTCCCACCGCGAAGGTCGGAACCTCCACTCGCGCACCATTCGCGTTGCATTTTTCGGGTGCAAAAATGTCACATTTTATTAAATTGAATTATGTGTATTTTGTGATATAAGTGAGATGTGCACATGTATATCAATTGGGCAAGCATGTCAAGGAGGAAATGCTGATCATATGTAGCATGAAAGTGCTGTACTTAGTGAGAGTAGATCTAATTAAATTATTGATAAAGCATGGGATTAAGTTGACATGCTTTGAAATCATCTATAAGCTAATGAGAGCATGCCACTTAGCAAACCTCTTCCATGTGACTTGGATCCACTTGCATTTCTATTTTAGTTATTTTAGGAGCTAAAACATAACATTTAACATGCCACTTTAGAGGAGAAATCAAGTCAAAACATTTATTCACTCTATTCTCTCATTTTCTCTCACTTGTTCACGTGTTTTTCCATTGCTCTTCCATAAATTTCATACTTGACCAACCCTATTCTCATGCATCCAATCTTCAAATTCACACCATTCTTCTACCATTCCTTTCCTCTCATCATACACGCCAGATCCCTTCACATTTCATAGAGGAATCTTAAATCACCATTTCCATAGAGCTTCCATATGGCTTGTTCAAGTTCTTTAAAGGCAAGATGAAGATGATAATCTCTAGCTAAATTCTTAATGAAACCTTAGGAAAGAGTTAGTGAAAGAGGAGCATTGAAGATGATTCTTGGCTAAGCTCATTCTAATCTTATCTTATTTCATTTGAATTGGTGTATTATGATTCTAGTTGATTTATGGTTCATTTTGGCTTTAAAATCATAGTTGGATGATAATGGTTGTAATGAGATAAGATTGTTGACTTGTTTTCTTCGTCTTTAGTTCTTGGTAATTTCAGCCACATGTTGAATTTTGAATATTAATGTGATTTTCAATTTATGATTATCATGCAATGACTCTACATGGTTGTGTTTGGTTAGTGTTTGATCAAATGTTTGAGTTATAAGGTTGTGTGCTTGGGCAAGTTAGTAATTGTGGCTAATAGAGGGAGAATTTAATTAAACACTTAGTCAATTCTTAAGCTAGGCCAATGAGATAACCTACTGGCTTGGACTAATGTCTTAAGGAATTAAACAAGTTAGGTTGCCTAAGATGATTGTCTAGGGTGATTATCAATTTGGCCAAGGGGTAAAAAAATGAGTAAGTTGCCATAATTCATTTAAAAGCAAGGACTCTTCTATTAGCAATTTTCTAGGGTTCCTACTTGATAAGGGATTTCCATTTCACACTCTTTAGTTTAGGTTTGACCTAGATACTACATTTAGGTTAAAACTAGTTATTTTGTTAGGGTGTGCGATAGTCCTATCAATGGTTAGGAGTCATGTGTTGGATAAATATTACCACATGGTTTGCTTTTGTCAGGCCCAATGGGTGGAATGTGTGGCTTAAACTTGTTTACCTTTGGCCAAATGAAGAGTATCGAGCATGGTGTATGGAGGAGATAAGGAGTTTCCATACCATATGTGTGTATTTTCAAATTGAATGTAGATAACTATTTAGAATGTATTTTGTTTACACTTAGCAATCCTCATATTTAAATACTTTATATGCTTTATTTCATCCCATAATTGGTTACTGGAAGCATCACATCTTATTCCCTATTATTATCATTTCTACAAGAAAGGGTCTAGTTGGAAAAGCATTAGTAGAGTAATTAGGTGTATATAGACATCTTTGACCTAGGTGGTCTCTCTTTGTGGTTGAAGTAATGTATAGAATGCCAACTTAAGACATCTTTGTTTATTATGAGCATGTAGACTCTTTAATTTAAATTTTCTTGCATATGTTGGCCATGAGATTTTTGTCTATGTCTTAAGGTCTAAACATTTAATTTAAGATTAATTATATTAATTTATTGGCCATGAGACTTTTATCTTCCCCTCATGGCCTTAAATAATTATTAGTCAATCATATGAGAGATTTAGTTATGATTTAAGTTTTGAATTGTTTATTTTAAAGCTTGTTGGGGACTACACACCACTATTTTAAATGGTATTAGAATTGTTTTAAATGTTTTCTATATTTTTTGAAGAACTTGTTTAATGAGATCTCATCTTAGTACTTCCTATTTAGTTAAACTATATTATTAACTACCATGGTAGATCTTTTTTTTTTTCATATATTTGCAAAGCTCTTTTATTACTATGGTAGATCCTTTTACCATAATAGTTAATATTTATGAAATGTTTTAATTATAGAAAATTTATATTCTACTATAATATATTTTCTAAATGATAATTTTGTCCCTTAATTATTATGGTAAACTCTTTTCAACCATGGTAAGATTTTTAAAATTTATGGTTCTATCTTTTCTATTATGGTAAGCGATAATGTTTAAAAAAATATATTTCACTTTATAATATGATGGTTGACTTTTTTTTTATCATAGTAGAGTTATTATTCTTAAAAATTTTGAGTTTTTTCTATAATATTATTTACACTAAAATAAATTTGGTATATGAGTGAGGAATGTTTCATTTGGTATTAGAGCTTTATGTTTCAAAGCGTTGTGTTGTGATTACAAATTTGTGTTATGTTATGCATTACACATAGTAGTTAGAAAATATACATTATTTTGATGCTTCTCCTTGTATGGCTATAAGTTGTGTTTAGGCTCCTTTAGGAAGGAAGAGAAGGTGCTGATTACTCATATAACTGTTAGCACTGAGTAGCAATAAGGGGCTCAAAATAAGCAATCCCAACCTCAATCAACGAGTAGTGATCCAATCCTTATGGAATTGAAGAGGATGTTGGCAAACTTGATCGACAAGGTCAAGAGCTAAGGAATGAAACTTGCTAAATTAAAAAAATTTGAGTATTTGGCTTAGCCCATTCAAGTTCGGGGTTGGCCTAGATTAATAGGTCACCCTTTTTTATTCCACTAAGTTCCATTATTAGAATCTCACGATCAACATCAATTTATTATAACAGATTGAAAAAAGTTAAATATGGTAATTTAGGTCATGCCTAATGTATCACTCTAAATAAGCTTGAAAATCTCGGTATTGGGCATGGGGAATTTAGAAAAAAAAATATTGACTTCACAAATAAGCCCAAATAAATCTAGATCAAACCCCAACTCAAATGGACTTAGTTTGAATACTTGAATTCTTTTTTTATTATTAATAAAATAAAATTAATATTAGATAAAAATTGAAAAATATTAACTTCTTAAAGTAAAAATTGAAATTAAATAAAAAATAAAAATAAAATAGAAGAAAATAATATGTTACAATTCGAACCAACTCAAATAAGCTCGAAAGTCTGGGTTGTTAGGTAGAGCTTGGCTATATGAGTTCTTTTATAAAGTTAATAGATACTCATGCATTATTGTAGATTTAAGGATACCAAGAGCTCATAAAGAAAAAATTCATAAATATTTTTACACCTTTTGTTTTCTTCCTATTTGTTTAATGGTCAACGTTAATGAACGTTAATCAAATTTAACAGTTTAGGCACTTTCCACCCAGTAATGTCTGCCTTAACATTACCAGAACAACACTCATACACACTATTGTGATAACTAGGATTAGATAAAATCTTAATCAAAAGTTACCACAACCTAAAGGTTTAAAAGATAATTAGTTTAAAATAATGGGATCCCAAAAAAATCCTTTTTAAATATTGTTATTTGAGCTCAAACCATAGTTAAAAATCAATTAAGAACAAATACGAAATCATGAAAATTAAACCACATCAAATTAGACTAAAACAAGACACTTTTCAACAATTTTGGTTCGTCTACCACAGCTATAGAGGGACAAGTCTCTAGAAGGTTGCTTGCATTGCCGTGCAATAACCATGCACCGCGGCGCGCACCTAATGTCATGATAGCCCTTCGAATTTTCGGAGTGTGCCATTTTGCCATCCGACATTTGATTTGGGCAATTCAAGTGTCCACGCGAAGTTCTTTGAGCCCTTTAGATAATGGTATTGGCTTCACACTCAAACAATCATCCATTTACAAGATGGATACCTAAACCTAAAATGATTCGTTTTCACCTCAAAACACACACGAAGGTTTTCAATTCACAATGCCAATTGCCATTAGCCCCAAAGACACTTTAACTACCTCAAATGGACCACACACAATATAACAATTCAATCATAACACACAATTAAGCATTCACACTTAAAATGACCATTAGAACCCCCAATTCACAACAACATAAGGAGTGGATAAAACCTAACACATATATTAACTTGGTCATTTTGGCACATCAATCATTTTAAATATATCACATGTAAGTGTAACTTGGCCAAGCATACATACTTAACTCACAACATCAACCTTAGAACAAGACACACACACCCTTATCACAAATTCACATCAAGGGATAATCACAACAATATTATGTTCCTAAGTTGGCATTATATATTAACAATATTCATTACAATACCCAAAAAGAGGAAAGGAAAGAGCTATACAACTATACTCTTCGCTCTTCAGACGTCCCTTCCTTCCTTTTGCCCCTACCAGAGCCCTTACCTATAAAATATAATCACAGGGTAAGATAAACATCTCAATAACCAATATACTTCATCAAATACTTATTACCACAAATAACCATAATAAAGTATCAAAACTAAGGTAATTATCAAGTATATCAGATTTATGAGATAAATGCATCTTTTCACAGTAATTCTACACAATTTCACACTAGTATGATCATCTAACCATTAAACCTCCAATGCTCCCCGACATGAAATCATAGGCTCTCCTGAATTAACCACTTGTTGACCCAAGTACACTTTCAATGGTAGAAACAGCTGGCCAAAGGCAATCTAACCTACCTACAGACTATGATTTTTCCCTCTTCACACACTTGTGATAAAGGCGTCATTGACTCTTAACCACATTCTAATGGGTACTAGAGAGTTATTAGACTACTTAGATGTCCCATGGTAATAGTCCTATATAATGTTTTACCGGATGTCCCATAGTGCCAGCCTGACCATATGAATTTTTCACTCACATATCTTCACACACACATATCCCCACGTATCTTGGGTGAACTCCCACCCCCTATGATCATACTTTTTCACAGTTATCATTGCTTATCCATACTTTCACCACCTTTACTTTCATATCATATATATATATATATATATATACATATCCATTAGAATCAATGACTTTTTAAAATCCATTTCACAAACCAATGCTCATGTTAAAAATCATTTTTCAATATCAAATCATGCATAAAATTCTTAAACCACAAATTCATCACTTTGTATTTACTTTTATGCAGTTATAATAGTTAATAAATATAATAAACTATATGGTTACCTCAACTCTTTGTCACACAAAAGGGTTACCGTGACTCAACGTTAGTTCCATACATTTTATATGCACGATATGGCTCAAGCAACGCTCAATCTACACATTCAAGTGACAATCATCAATTATCACTCTGGTTAATCCCGAATTCACTAGGTTCTAAGTGCCTATAACACCTAAATTCCTCACCTAACAACGCCAACTATTCTCAAACACTCTAACCATCTTATTAAACATCCCAATACACCAAAATCACTAGCTAATTCCCCATATTGTCTCAAAATCTCCAAATGATACTTAAGATTCATCCAAACCCTCAACAAAAATTCTCAATCGCCATAAAACTCATAAACTTAGGGTTAGAAGTTTAATTTAACTCCCCAAGACCTTGAATAAACCAATGGGTTCGGTCTAAACATAAGGGAACCAAGATTAAAGCCCCCATTGCCCCAAATGTCCAGATTTTCACATAATGAGGGAGAGGAAGAAGAAAGAAAGGCTTACCCAATGTATATGAAGCTTAAAAGGCCTCCAAAATCACGTTGGAAGCAAACCCTAGCGGTCACAAGTCTCTCTTTGTCGCTGGTCTCGAGTTCTTTCTTTCTCTCTTCTGGTTTTCAAGCCTGATTCGTAATCTAATAAGTGTAGATTTTGCATGTGTGCCACGGCGCATTGACACACCTGCTGTGGCGCATGATACAAAAAGTCCCACAAAATTTTAATCTCCCTTTCATACTATGGCTCACTCAAACATAGCCCTAGCTCTCTTCTAAGACTGTCCAAGGATCTAAAAACTATATTAGTCTCTCATAAACTTCATTAATCAATAATTTATCTAAATTAACCGATTTACCCTTGGAAACACTGAAATTTACAAATTGAGAAACTTAGGATGTGACACACCCACTTCATCAACATTAAAGGTACTTTTACACTTTCATTCATTTAAGGATACTGAGTATTCTTGAAAGAAAAGTTCATAAGTAGTCTTGCTGAGTCTAAATTCAATAGTATATTTGTATGATAAAGATGTATATTGTCATTGTGATACACCAGATTAAAAAAAAATAGGAATCTATAATATATATATATATATATATGTAACGAAAAAATAACAATCTAATACTCTTCTAAACTTGACACATAAGCATTTTTTTTAAAATACTGCAATTTTAAGCTATCCACATTACTATTAATTTCTAAAAATACTTTTTTACAAAAAATTAATATCAACATTATCTCTAAAATTGACAAAAGTTGCTTTTCCGTCATTCTAGAATATTTTCTCCCATGATCTCATCATAATTTTTTAACTAATTCACAATTTTAAATTTTAATTTTAAAAATATCAAAAAAATTTAACTATCATACTATTCTCACCCCAAATCGTATTAGTTGATTAATTTTGATTCTTAATTATAATTTAAACATGCAATTTGAATAGGCTATTAATAATTTAGATATATTGATTTAGTTTTAAAATTTATAATGAGGAAGTTACCACTAATCGATTTTCCCTTCTCTCTCTCCCATTCCATGAGCTCATTCATTAATATAACTTCTCAACTAATCACAATTTTTATTTTAAATTTTGAAAATCTTAAAAAATTTCACGCATAATGACCTTCCCACACCTCAATCCTGTTTGTGAAATTAATTTAATTCTTAATTATAATTTAATTGTAGAACATGGAAGCCGCACCAACACAAGCACCACATAGGAATTTTATCTTCATTCTATTCTATACATGCATTTTGTGCGGAGCTTGGTGAAGCTAGTATAATTTACATCTTCGTAACTCCTCTCTGCCAAGCAGTAGAGTAAATAATTGTCATTTATACCATTGTATGCACAAATCCACAAACAGAGCAAAGGTGATTGAAAGTTGCAAGCATTTGTCTACTTTTCAGGATGTCTATACATATTGGGAAGGAAGTCCATATTTATTGAGAATCCAAATGAGGAAAAGAAAACAACAAATTATAGAAGAAGAGGTAATATTCAATTAGTGGGTCACTTCAAACAAGTAACATGCTAGGACAAGAACCTAATTTATGATGTAGAATTTTGCTATGCTGAATATTTAAGTCTCAATTGGAATTAGAAACTAATGCATATGTTCAAATCTTTCAAATATTGTAGACCTAGCTTCTTCTTCTTTTTGGTTGTTCTGTGAAAGAATGCAAGCCAATGAAATTTTTTATCATATAAATACTATATATCTAGGTCAATTCAAGACATGTTTATGATGTTTCAAGATGGTTTATCCTACAACTTGGACCTCTGATGTTTGCTCTACAAGGTTTTTGTGTTATCTGTTATCGTTTGACATTTAGGCTTAAGCTTCTTATCTTGTGTTATCATTGTTACTTTTAACTCTAAGTAATTAATATAAATTCCAAGTTAGATGCTACTTTGGCCTTATTTCATTTCTCTCTTTTTATGCTAATGTATAATTTATAATATTTTCTAACCTAGATATTCAATGTCAAAAAGACAAAATAAAAGCATGCAATTCAAATTCTCTACTTTCAAAACTAATGATAGTCGATCTTCACATTTGATTCATCTCAATAGTATAATATGATTATCTTTAAAATTTAGAATTACGAGTTGTGTGCGCGAGACTTTAGGTGTCATACTACTAATGCTCATGGCATTGCAAGACAACAACATTTCACATTGCCTACTAGAGTGTCTTTTACGAGAAAGGTAAATTTAGATATGAATTTTAACTTTTTTTTTTAAGGCATATTCTCTTGTACATTGTTTTAGTCTAATTCTCATTAGTTTTACATAATCTAAAGTGATTACAAAAAATTTCACATGGGCCGATCCCATTGTTTAGCACATCAATGTCTAATCATCTTTCATTGTTTTACTTATGTGTGAATTCCTATAGGATTTTATTTACAAAATTATTTTTTAATTGGTGAATATAATTTATTTTTATTCATTCATTTTGCCAACTTCCTAACCCATGATCTAATATAACTTCCTAAGTCCACAACCCCCTTTTAGATACAATTTGTTATTTAGATTATTCACCATATCTATATCTAATTATCTATATATACACGGGATACAAATATATGTATATATATCATATATATATATATATATATGTTATCTAATTAACTAATATTATTTTAATAAACATTTTTTGTTGTGTTAATTATGCATGGAGTACATGCTAGTCATTAATTATTATTAGAATAGGTCAACCATGCAGTAACAGCCAACGATTGATAACGGTTCCACTCATTCTGGTTTCCAGCTCCAAAAATATCTGTGATGGAAGATACATGGGAGCTATTTGCAGGCATACCAAAGAAGGTTTCCAACTCTTGAACGAATGCAAGCAAATAACTCTCAACCTAAAACTGAAAAAGAGGAAATCACAAGTTCTGGCCCTATTTTCTAAGTGAAGCTGACGCTGAACTTAATATTACAACTGCCATTTGCAGAGGGACCAGAGAATGCACTAAATACACTTTGTAGCCTCTTTCTCAGTGTCATTTGAAAAATTTTCTCCATACTGTGTCAAGGAAGCAATTGTTTTTTTAGCATTTCCAAGATCAAATTCATTCGTCACCAGGAAAAACAGAGTGCAAGGCTTTAGAAAAGTATATATGGGTCAACTATACACACCCGAGAATCATGCAAAGGAATAAAATAGAACATGAAAAATCTGATCCTAAACAAAACCAATAACCCTATGATTAAGAGAAATGTCCGTGGTAATATACTCTGTAAATAACAATAATAATAATAATGATAATGATAATGATAAAAGACTTTGTGAAATGGACCTAGGGATCGGCCCCATCCAACATTTCTCATTTAAAATGTTCTTCAATAAGAGTCAGTTAACATCAAAGTAAGACTATAAGTATACATACCAGCCTTTCCATTATTGTTCAGTCTCTTCTAGCTGTGTTCGATAAACGTAACTGCAACACAAAACTAAGATTTGACACTACCCATCAAAAGGAAAATTCGACTCAAATATTTTAAAATGTAAACTGAATGATGAAACAAAAATTATATTTCAAAAGACCTCTGCTCAAGTGCTAAATTGTACGAAGGGCAGCATAAGTACCAGCCATTTCTTAGAATCATCATGCTTTAATGTGGTAGGGATTGATACACGAGCAGAATCAATATTTCCCAAGAAGCCACCTCTGTCACTCCATTCAATCTGCACCAATCAAATTCCAGCTCACGCAAAAAATTTACTTGTGCAAACTAAATTTTACTCAAGCATACTTTCAACCTACAGCTAGCTGTGAAACACTACATTATGTAGGTCAATTAACAAAATTTTGAAATACAAAACCAGTTTGAATTTCAGTTGGATATAATTAATTATGAAAAAATTAATAAACATGATTAAATTTAATTATAATTGATTATGTTATGATACGATCAATTTGAATATTTTTTTTTTTAAATTAATTTTGATAGAATTGAATATGTTTAGATGATTTAATTATAATCAATTTTAGATATATAAATTACTATAAAAGACATTACTTCTCAAAATTAAAATATTGATGAGGATGTATATAATATTATTAAATTTGTTAAACTTTATCTAAAAAACAACATATATTATTTAACTTATATATATGATTAATTATATAAATTTAAATTACATTAATATTATTAATTTAATTTACATAAAAAAATAATTTGATAGATAGCCCAGGGAGCTTATTTCATGGAAAGATAGACCCACTATTGACGGCGAGGGTATGTGTCGTCAGATAAAAACTTCTGACAGATAGCAAATACCGTAACAGCAAAATCGATATGGAGCAGCTATCCAAGGAGCTTATTTCAGAACATGGTTGCAGCCCTCCGAATTGATTATGAGTAAATGAGGGTGTTTGGTTTTTTTTTTTTTTTTTTTTTAAACCATGGTTTTATCCATAATAATCGATTAACTTTTGTATCCTAGCAGGCACCACCACTGTCACCCCCTTCAATCTGCACCAATCAAATTCCAGCTCAGTTAAAAAATTTACTTGTGCAAATTAAATTGTACTCAAGCATACTTTCAACCTAGAGCTAGCTGTAAAACGCTACACCATGCATACATACCAGTCGGGAGAAAATTAAACTGGCACGATAGTTGCTACTCATACCCGTTTTTGCTTTGCTTTTTATGGACCATTCTTTCAGGATGCGTTAGTTTTGGCTTTTATATTAATTTACCAATATCTTCTATACTCATTAACATAAATGTAAACAATATATCAGAAAATAGATTTAACAAAAAAGAGATATTATATTTTTTATTTCTAGTCATTTTTTCTTTTCCCTTCAAATGTATGAATTCGCAAAGATGATACAAGTTGCTAAGTTAAAAATTAAATTATCTACAAAACCATTTATTGTAGAACTCACGTCTCACGTCCCACCATTACACTCATCATCTCTTCCATCTCCCCACCAAAAAGGTAAAATAATAATAATAATAATAATAATAATAAAACCTCTAAAATGCATTTATTTTTTGTGAATGTAAACAATACAGTTTGAAATATTTCTGGCGTAGTACAGCACGGAAACCAATCAAAAGCCACTAGTATTATTGTCAACTGTGACCTGTCTGGAAAACAAATAGAACGAACATGAAAAGACAACTTGCCTCTGTTTCAATGAAGAAATATCTCCTCAGATCTCTCCTTTTGCACAATATGTCATTACAAATCTCTCTTAATTCCATTACCTGAGCCATCTCCAAAGTCTGCCCAAGTGCCATTGCTTTTGTCATAAAAGCACTGATGGTGAATGTTCTTACTGAAGCTTCATCCCTCAAGAAGCTTACCAGCCCCATTCCTAAAAACGACAGCATCAGCATCTACTGTTTCTTTAAGAAAAGAGCCATAATTGCTTTGAGAATGCCCTATCTAAGGGGAATTTCACAATCACAGCAATCAACTTCTCCATTTCTACAGTCACAGTTGTGCTTCAAACAACTAGTAAATGGTCCTCATTTTTTTTTCCCCGGCCAGAAAGATCCTCATGTTTACTAGAAAAAGATTAAAATAAATGCGATGGAGGTCAAACAGAACTCATCCCTGGTAGACTTCTTGATCAACATTCTACATGGACTGTATTCATAGATTGATATATCTCTAGTGTCTACCCTTAAAGCCAATGAAAAGCCAAACCACAATTTTTTATCCCAATCACGCAGAAGTACCACAAGCTCAATTGCTTCTTCATCCTTCAAAAATAATTTTTTGTTATCCCATAACTTACTTTTACCCACAAATCCTGAGGAGCGCTCCATCTTGCAAACAAAATCTAGTTCCTTGTATTTTAATATAACCTATGTATATTCTGTGTTTTGAACTAAATTTCAGGCAAGGGTGACTTTCAAAAGTTCAAATACCTGTGGGCTAGGCAACAATAATCGGTCAGTCCAGGTCACTTTAGAAGTCCATGCTCAATTGGATGTATGTCGGATCTCAATCACCAATAGTCATGGCAGGAGCACATCCCATCCTTCATATGATGAAACCGGTTTGCATCTCTAACAACTATTTCTCTTCCCGTTACCAGTGATATGTACTTGATTGCAGAATGACAATCCCCACAAATCCTAAGGTTTTTGAATACTCTAATAGGTTTTGGTTTGGAGGTACTAATAAGAGCAAATGTTACTGCAATTTTCTCACTATGTTGAAACAGATATTGTTCCTTCTGTTCATCCTCCACATCATGAAGGACAAAATCTGTATTAGGGACATAGCCAACATTCTTTATTTTCAAAGCCAAGTTATTAAGTTCGTTATAGATCTTCTCAGCTTGGGGGTGTGAAGTATCCCCTACATGGAATTTGTGCACCTGGTTTTCCACCTCAACCCAGCTGCAACCTGCTTCTTTTGTTAAATTTTTCTGCTTCATGTTCTTTCTAATTGCTGCAACATCTTCCCATCGTCCTTTTGATGCATACAAGTTTGACAGCAGCACATAGGCAGCTGGATCATGAGGTTGTTGCTTGAGAATCATTTTTGCTGCATGCTCCCCAAGCACAGTGTTGCCATGAACTTGACAAGATCCAAGGAATGTACGCCACACTAGTGCATCAGCCTTGAAAGGCATTGAGTTGATAAATTCAATAGCTTCAGAAAGCAATCCAGATCGGCCAAGCAGATCAACCATGCAAGCATAATGTTCCATTCTTGGAACAACACCATGAATTTCATACATGGAATTGAAGTGTTTCCATCCCTCATTGATCAAACCTGCATGACTACATGCTGATAAAACTGCAATGTAGGTGACCTCGTTAGGCATTACTGCAGCTTCAAGCATTAAATAAAACATTTCTAGTGCTTTTGAAGCGAATCCATGCTTCGCACAACCAGTTATAATAGAAGTCCAAGATATGACATTGTGATTTCCCATATCAGCAAAAACTTGTAAAGCAGCTTCTATGTTTCCACACCTGGAATACATTGAGATTAAAGCATTATTGATGCACAGGTCTGCCCCAAATCCTGACTTGAGAATTCGAGCATGAATTTGCTCACCCTTACCTATCGCACCAATACCAGCAGCTCCACTTAAGAGGCTAGAAAATGTAAAGGAATTAACCCCTAGACCAGTGTGTTCCTCAATTTCATGAAAAAATTCAAAGGCTTCTTTGGAATTGAAATATTTAGCATAGGCATCAACAAGTGTATTATAAGAAATCAAATTCTTCTCAAAGAGAATATCAAATGATTTCCGAGCACATTCCATTCTTCCAGACCTAGCATACATGCTAACAAGAGAATTTCCTACACAATTTACTGAGGAAAGGCCAAGTTTAACTGTTTGGGCATGAAGTTGCTCACCAATGCATAAATCAGGAACATTTGCACAAGCCTTGAGAACACTAGAAAATGTAAAATGATTTGGTGCCACATGACCATGAATCATGACATAAAACAAATTTATGGCTTCCTGATCTTGGCCATTACCTTGAACATATCCTGTGATAAGTGTAGTCCAAGACATAACATTATGACTAGGCATACAATCAAATACTTTCCTAGAATTTTCCACTGATCCATCCGCTGAACATTTTGCATACATATCGACCAAACTACAACCCACACACACATCTGAAGCTAGTCCCAACCTTACAACCCATGAATGTAATTGCTGCCCGAGTGATAACCATCCCAACTCTGCACAAGCTGATACAACACCAGTTAGAGTAAACCTATCTGGTTTATATCCACACAGTAACATTCTGAAAAAGTAATCAATGGCATCTCTAGGGTAACCCAGTTGTGCAAATCGCGTAATCATCAGGGTCCAAGTAACTACATTTCTATCCTGCATTTCCTTGAACACCAAACGGGCAGAGTCAATATCACTACTCCCCTTCGCAAACATATCAATTAATGCACATCCAACACACACATCAGAATCCAAATATCCAGTCTTCAATACAAAACCAAATATTGCACGCCCAATGGAAACATACAGAGCATTAGAACATGCTCTGATCACTGCCGTAAAGCAATACTCATTAGGAAAAAGCCCATGTTCAAGCATATCAAGAAAAGTGACAAGGGCATCGAATTCCATGTTATTAATGGCAAAGCACGAAATCATAGCACTCCAAGAAACCAAATCTCTCCTATTATCACACATACTTTGAAATATGGAAAGTGCTGTTTCCCACTCGCCGCATTTAGAGTAGAGGCTGATGAGCGAATTGAGAAGAACCGAATCCAGCTCGAGTCCAGACTCGATCAACTTGCGGTGAATGAGCTTTCCGAGCTCAAAATTACGAGACCTGATGCATGCTTTGAGGAGAACGGAGGAGTTGAGAAGGCTGAGGCGCGTGTGGAGGTGGTCAGGGGTGAGGTCGAGGTTGGAAATGGCTTTGTGGAGTTGCGGGACACTGAAATTGCGAGAGAGAATGAGACGCTCAAAGTTGGGGTCTTTGGGGTATGAAGAAGGAGCGAAATTTGGAGGAAGGAGAAGAGATAGGCTCAGAGTCCTCATGGTCCCTTACAGCTGGAAACTACAGTCAGCCACTTAAGGTACGCTAAGGAAGATGATAAGCGGCCATACGATACGAGAAGGATTCATCACCCATGCTGGAAAGAATTTTGCTATAATATTAAATTTAGATTGTCCATATTAAATTTGAATCGTTCACATTGGTGCCAAGGAAAGCAAATACCTGTAGAAGAATATAGAGGAAGAATCAGGCGACAAAATGTGAAGAGTGTAGAGGAAGGAGACGCAAATCAGCAATCCCGAGCAACGGAACGGCCAAACAGTTCGAGCACGGCGACTAGGGGAAGAATTCCGATTATCTGAGCAATGACGACGACTGGAGCTGTGGAGGGCAGAGGAGGGAACTCGAACTCGCCTGGGAGGCTAGGGATTGAAGTTGAAGTGAATGAAGCGCTTTGGGCTGAATCAAATTTTACCGGTTCTTCGGTCGGGGTGAACCGGACTGTACCAGACTACCGGATCTTTATACCAAGAAGCAAAAAATGAAGCGAATGAAGGTGGAGCTTAATGTCTTCCAATGATTTATGAAAATAATTTTTAAAAAAAATTTGATAATTGATCTAGATAATTTATATTTAATTTGGAAGATTCAAATTTAATATTAATATTTTAATAATTTTTAAATTAATTATCAGATTTACTTTGGCCGATTCAGATTTAAAAATTTTTAATTTATAATTTTTTAAAAAATATATTTATTTTGAAAGTGTTAGCGAAGATATTATCATTATTTTTAATTTTAATATTATATTTATTAAAATAAAAATTTGTAAAAATTATTAAAAAATAATATTAAATTTGAACTGTTTAAAGCATATTTAAATAATTAATTTATAAAAATAAAAAATAATACTAAATCAGACTATCTAAATTAAATCTATACTAGCCAAAATATTATAAATTTTTTTATAATTTATAGAATTTGTATAAATTATAAATTTTTTAAAACTAAATTATAACAATTTTTAATAAATTTAGTTGTGTGCTTTGCATATGATGAGAAGTCTTTTTCATACACCCTTTTCTTTTGAAGCATTAGATAAAATAAATGGTAAGGATTACCTCACTTCCTCCAATTTCACAATTTTCACTGCATGTAATCCGTATCCAATTTTTATTTGAGGAAGACAATTTAAGTTGGTTTCCACCACATAGCTTGAGGATTTTGTTGGCAAGTCTATTATTATGAGCGACGTTGAGCTTCAAAAGATATAACCTCACTAGAAGATCCTCTAGCCTCTGATCATTCAATTTTTTGAGTTGGATGATGAAGCTCATGATTCTAACTAGACCACTCCTTTGGTGAACTATGAGAGTTTGATGTAAATTTTAATATATCACATGTAATGATAATAAACTTATGGTTTCAATATCATATAGAGTTCTAGGTTTAACAATGGATTAGACCAATCAGTTTCAAACTTCATTAAGTAGTATCATGCCAAGCAAGTAATTCCCCAACAGTCTCTACACAATAGAGTCCCAAGGTGGATACAACAAATATAGTCAACACAATGAGGTCTTGTCTTGAACAAAAGAGCAGTGAAGGTAAAAAAAAAAAAAAAAAAATGAAGGCAAGCAAATAACGAAGGCGGCATTTCAGACATGCCCACACCCAAGTTATCTTATGCTATGCCGTCAAGGATCCCGAAGAAGGAAATAGCATCATGATTCATAAGCAACAAATGATGCTTCTTTTGTGGATCGATAATGATTGTATGTATTGTAACTTTGATGCATGTAGGTAAATAGGATCCAGAATGCGAAGTATATCTAGCTTTTTTCTTTTTCTTTTTTTTTGTGTGGATATATTTTGGTTAGGATAGTTATAATCTACTAACTATTGAGAATATCTGTAAAATGCTTACATGGGCTCTTCATGATCCACAATTGTAATTTTGTCAGGGTTGAATGACAACTTTTTGTACTGTTATGCTAATTTTAATAAGGACTATCTTCATTCATGTTTCCTTCAAGTTGTCTAATTGTGCATGCGCACAGCATATAAATAGTGATAAATGATTATGGCAACTCAATGTGATGTAATTTCACAATAACTCAATTAATTGCAAAGAATAGGTCAAAAGATTTAAGTATCTTAAAGAAACGCTTTGTTTAAACAAATAATTTTAAAAAATTATTCCAACAAATAAGGCTTTGTTTAGATTTCTTTTATGTAGCATGCTTTTTTTATAAGAATACTTTTTTTAAAAAAAAAAACTTATATGATCATTTGATTCTGGCGATACGAAAAGGAAAGATGTTATTTTGCCAATAATAATACAAATATCTAAATAATGGTTACATTTTTTAAATTAGGAAAAAATAAATGGCGCCACCATCACTATTAGTATTATATTAGATTGATTAGTAAGGTAGATTGGATCAAATTAGATAGATAAAGATAATATAATATATAACTTTGTTTATGTGAAAATGAAATTGAAAAAATTTGAGTGACCTTGAGAAATAAAAAATTAGCCATAAGAAATTACAAGGAAATAAAGTTTTACGTGATATTTCATGTTTGGACTACTCAATAATTAGCTACTTGGAATATCTACCCCATCAGTGATTAATATAAATAGAGATAGTCACAAACACGCGTTGGCGCTTCTATGTGACACGTGTGTTGGCAGTAAAATGAGATAAAATAATAAAATTGATGCTATACTAATCTCTCTTTAAAAATTATCAAGGGCAAAGGGATAAAAATATCTACAAAGTAGTCAGTCAGAAGCACTCAGTATTTTAAAGTGAGAAAAAAGTCAAAAATATTCATATTGTTACATGAGTGGTTGCAAAAGTAACTAAACCGTTAATTTTGACCTAACGCTGTTAACTTTAACTGTTAAAATGCTGACTATACATGCCATGTATTAATTTTTGCTAACGTGGATTAATAAATGGTAAAAATACCTATGAAGTCATTGGTCAGGAGTAAAAATACCCATAACATTACTATAAGTAGTGCAAAAATAACCAATTCATCAAATCCCTTAAATATTGACCATTTAGCTGACACCTAAGCAAAAGTTGTCATTTTTTCGTTGACATGAATAAAAAATATTCCTAGATGAAATTCTCTGAAGGTTAATCGGTCATTGTATGAATGTTATGTGAGAAAAAGTTATTTTGATTGAATATCAAATTAAATCACTTGTTTTTTTGCAATAGTGGTAAAAACTATTTGAAAATTTTAAACCTATCATGAATGAAATTGCTTATGGTTGTGAAAATGTTCTTAAGCTAGGGCGACATAAGAGGTGTGTTAAATCTCGATATTTGATTATGTACAACCTATTTTACTATATTGAATCTCGAGTTTTGCAAAGAAGAAAGATGAGTGAAGAGGGAGGAAGGAAGGGTGTGATATACGTGATGATGGAAAGAAATCATGTGGTATGGATTTTGACGGATTAGTTACTATTACACCTATTAAAGTAACATCATAGGTACTCATATATTGATCGATCAACATTCATAAAAATTTATCTATTTTGTCTATATCAGTGAAAAAAGGCTCAACTTCTGTTTAAATGTTAGCTAAACGGTCAACATTTAAGAATTTAATGGATTGGTGACCAACTCTGATAATGTTATGGGTATTTTATTTCTCCTGGCTGACAACTTTGTGAATATTTTAGCTTCTTTATTAGTCCACATCAGTAAACATTGACACATGGCATGTACAGTTAGCATTTAATGGTCAAAGTTAATGATTTGGTCACTTTTACACCCACTCATATAACGTTGTGGGTATTTATACCTTTTTCCTCACTTTAGGCTACTAGGTGCCCCTAGCTAATCACTTGGTGGATATTTTTACCTTTTTACCCTATTATCTATACAAAACAAACCCTAGCCTTCTTCTTTACTTCCTCTGTCCCTATATATAAGAGGTCTTATATAACATTTTTTGTCCCTAAATATAAGAGGCTGTTAACATATTTTTTTAATGGATGGACCATTATTCTCTTATTAAATTGGAAAGAGAAGAAGATAAGTACTCTCATTAATTTATTATGAAAAAAGAGATTCATTTTTTATTTACAATAATTAGGGGGTAAAATTGGAATGTTTTTGTGATTTTAATTAGATAACCAACTTTTATTGGTTTGTGTGATTTGATTAAAAACATTTTATCTATAGGGACAGAGGGAGTAGTTCACAACCCTTATTCCTTTCGCTTCAATCCTTCCTCCTTTCCCTTCAACTTTCTTGCCAGAACCTCAAAATTAGTTTGAATTACTAATCTCTGGCACCCCACCTTTCAAGTTACCTCATCATCATTTAAAAATTCCTAACTCTTGGTAGTCAACACCCAACAAGTACCAATTTTTTTTCTTAATCTCTCATACCCATTAGCCTTTCCAATGTTTGATAACACCTCTACAACTCGCTATACTAGGATCTTATCTTTGGTGTTCTATTGAAATTTAGCTTGAGCCAACCCTCTTCCATCACCCTCCAAGTTCTATATCATGAGTTCTCTCTAGCAATGGTACCAGCACATGGCTAATGTGGTAATAGGACTTTGAACATGATACAATAAGGTCCTTCTAACTCTTGAAACATTTGTGAGGTTTATTTTGAGCCATTTCTAGAAGGCTTCTTCTAAATCAACTAGCTGGGTTAAGAAATATACTACATTTCATATTTGTTTCACATGACTAAAGATTTTGAAAGTATGTCATTTCCCTTTCTCTACACGCTACACATCAGCACTTGCACCTCATCTTTCATTACTCAAAGAAATTGTTATTAATTGAATGTGCCTTAATGTTGTGTATGATATTGTGATTTATGATAATATTATGAATTTTTAAATTAATGAGTTTTAGTTATCCTATCCCAATATTAACTTAACATATAGCTGTCATTTTCCTAGACATATGACATGTGTGTGTGTGTGTGTGTGTGTGTGTGTGTAATATGTTCATGCACATGTCACGTGACATTAGAATACACACACACACGCATGTCACTACAACACCACCAAAGTTACTTTACATCTCGTCATATGCACATATGCAAAACAGAGGACCATAAAAAGTTTGAGCAGGATATAATAAAGTCCAAAAGAACTTATAGATACCCTTGCAAACTAATATATTAAGTTGTTACCACCACCATCAACCTCAATTTATGATGCATCCATAAAAGTTCATAATCCCATCTATATAGTTTATGCATCAATAGATCCTGTTCATCATCTTTCTCTTCCAGAAATACTCCCATACTATTCCTTATTCTCCATGCTTTCAAACATAGATATCTATTATGGATAATGGCACATTCTAATTCTTTGAAACCTGGACCAACATACTAAAAAAGTTCAACTAAAAAGAGTCACATCTACGAGAAAATATCTGTCATTCTCGTTGAAACGTTCTTAGCCATTCGAATG